TCAAGGGCGATACACAGGAACACAGCAGCACCACAGGCAAATCCAAACCAGTCTTGGGTCCCACCCAACGGATTACTAGCACCGGCGCCCCCTCCACATACTCTCTCCCAGGCTCTGGGAAAGACAGGCTGGGGGACCGCTAAGAAAAGTTTCGCTGAAGGGACTGCACAGACCTGTTGCCATGGCAAAAAGTCTGTTAGCAAACAGGAAGCTGGCGTCTGCGCTGCCCCACCCTGTGATAAAGCGCCCAGTGCAAGGAGCAACAGCCGGTGTGACCTGTTAGGGGCCGAGGAGGAGATAGGGCAGCGGGAGGGCGCTGGCCTGGCATGCGGCAGAATAGGGTTGGGTCCCGGGCACCACAAACCGTCCCCTGGGCCCTCCAAGAGTGATCCCTGAACACAGGGCCAGGAGGAAGCTCTGAGCGTGGCTGGGGGTTGGCACCCCCCACCCCCACCCACAAAAAAGGTAACCCAGGGGCGGGAGCAACAGCACCGCAGGTAGGCGTGCGGCCAACCCAGGTTCGATTCCCAGCGTCCCATAGGGTCCCCTGAGCACAGCCAGGAGTATTTCCTGAGGGCATGAGACAGGAGTAACCTCTGTGCATCACTGTATATGACCCAAAAAGAAAAAAAAAAAAGGTAACCTGGGCTGGAGCAGATGGCACATTGCAGTTGGGCGTTTACCTTGCACGGGGCCAACCCGGGTTCGATTCCTCCGCCCTTCTCGGAGAGCCCCGCAAGCTCCCCGTGGCGTATTCGAGATGCCAAAAACAGTCGTCTCACAATGGAGACGTTACTGGTGCCCGCTCGAGTGAATCAATGAACAAGGGGAGGAGAGTGCTACAGTGCTCTGGAGTAACATAAATGTACTAATGGTGCCTGGGGCTTTATAGGGGGTGGGGCTTATTATCAACCTGGGGGAGGGGGGAGCAGCAGGTTATAGTCGAAGGCTCATGCTAGCTTGAGTTCCTCTGGGTGATCTGCTCACTTCACATCTCAAGGCTGCCCGGTAAGAAGGGAAATTCCACAGAACGGTCCCTTTCTGCATAAAGAAAAGAGGAAGAGAGCTCTCTCTCTCTTTTTTTTTTTTTGGCTTTTTGGGTCACAACCGGCGATGCACAGGGGTTACTCCAGGCTCATGGACTCAGGCATTACTCCTGGCGGTGCTCAGGGGACCCTATGGGATGCTGGGAATTGAACCCGGGTCGGCCGTGTGCAAGGTAAATGCCCTACCCGCTGTGCTATCGCTCCAGCCCCGAGAGCTCTCTTCTGAAAGGGCGGCCACTATCAAAGACCAAAGGCCTGAATACCGCAGGCCTTGTAGACAGCAGACCCGGGTACATCCACGGCATCCCATAAGGTCTCCCGAGCACCGCCAGGGGTGATTCCTGAGTCCAGAGCCAGGAGTAACCCCTGTGCATCGCCGGGGGTGACCCAAAAAGCAAAAAAAGAAAAAAAAAAGGTTGGACCTGCAGCTACTGCTCATAATTTCAAGTAAAACACCATGAAAGGCACTTACTTGCCTAGTGTGTGACCAGCACCACACGTTTCCCTGAGTTTGTCTGGGGATAGCCCTGCCAGGAGTGGCCTCAGAGGCCCCCATGACCGCCGCGGGACCCCCAACACCGCAGGCCACTGGTCACCAACCTGCTGACTCAGGAAAAGCAAAAGCCGCCCTAAGATGATCCTTCCTCACTGACCTCCCAAAGATGCGCTCAGATTCAGGGTGGAGAGCAGAAACGGGGCAGGCCTGAGCCCTCGTCGCCCTTAGAACATGAACTTGGGGCTGGAGAGAGCTTATGGGGATTACAGTGCTGGCCCTGCCCACGGCCCACCCAGGATTGATTCCCAGCACCCCAGAGGGACCCTCAAGCCTCGCGAGGAGTCAGCCCAGAGCACTGCGGGCTGTGGCCCCCAAACGAGCAAAACCGAAGAACTCCAGTAGCACGTCACACCCACCCAGGGGTTATTTATTTATTTATGCCTTTTTGGACTATACCTGGTGATGCTCAGGGGTTCCTCCTGGCTTTTGCACTCAGAAATTACTCCTGGCAGGGCTCAGGGGACCCTATGGGATGCTGGGAATGGAACCCGGGTCGGCCGCGTGCAAGGCAAACGCCCTCCCCGCTGTGCTGTCGCTCCAGCCCCAGAGGGGGTATTTATTTCCCAGTATTCTCATCTTACGTGCAGACTGAAAAACAGAGAGGAAAATGCGGTGGCCACGGGGCCCTGACAAGGCAAACTCAGTTGGGATGATGAAGAAAGAACGTGCAAGGCAATGGGGCGTGAAGGGCAGGACCACACGACGCTCCCGCCAAAGCTTGACCTGGTCAGATGCCGGGGGGGCAGAAATGACCAAAGCCGAGGGTCCCCCTCTGCCCTGAGGGGGAAGCACTACATATGCTTTGGGGGTGAATTCAGGCCGACTGAAGAACATGAAAGAACCCTCCGGAGTGGGGGACAGAGCACAGCAATGGAGGGACAGTCTGGCAGGCCCCCAACCAGGGGTGGGTCTCTGGCACCCCTTGGTCCCCCAGAACACGGCCATAGTCCCCCTAGGCAATTCAGGGCCAAGCTGGGGCAGGGCCCTCCAGCCCTCCAGCCCTCACCGCGGGGCCACCAGAGTTCCCGAGCACTGCAGCGAAGCCCCAGCCCCCAAGTAATGACCAAGACTCAAATGGATGTTGGCAGAACGGAGCCAGCAGGCGGTCAGAGGGCACTGGGCAGCTCGTGAAAGTCGGGAAACCAAGTGATAACCAAGGAAGGGACCGGGCCATGCCAGCACAAGGGAGGGCTGCCACGTGCTCTGTCCCATGCGGGCCCCACAGGCCCTGACCGAGCCCAGGGTCTGAACCCTCAGCCCATGGAAGCCGACCTGGACAAGAACGGAGGGCTGCCGGCCACGCCTTCCCGCTGGGTACGTCCACCTCCAGGCCAGAGCAGAAGCTCATGTGGACCCGCTCTGCAGACACGGCCCCGCGGCTCAGGGAAAGGGGAAGGACAGAGCTGGGGCAAGACAGAAGGATCCCCCCAAGCTGGGGGCGATGAGGGGCTGGAGGCCTTGTCGTTGTGCTTCTGGATGGGAGAGTTGATGCTTAAGCCTGGCTTCCTGGACTGCCCCCCACCCACACACACACTCTGGGTGTCCCGGGGCATCAGCACTCTCTGGAAAGTTCTCTTAGTTCTTTCCTCAGGGGCAGGGGACGGGGTGGCCTCCCAAGTGGTGGTCTGGAGGGACAGTGGCACTGTACTCCCATCCCCTCCCGAGGACCCCCTAACCCTTCCCCATTCAGCAGCCCTGAGAGCGGAAAGGTCTCCCACCCCCGCCACACATATCCACACGCACGCGCACACACACACACACACACACACACATTTCCAATAGGCCCAGCAGGGCCCCAGCCACACGTGCCCAGGTCTGGGGACGCGGAGCTGGCTGGGCAGGCCCTACGTGGTGGCAGGACCGCCAAGCTGTGCGCCTGCTGGGTATGTGCCCTTATAGGACACTGTGGCCTGGCCCTGAAGTCGCATCTCTGAGGCCTGATGGTGTGGGTGTGGGGACCCGCTGTCTGCCCAGCCTGCGTGTGCAGATACTCGGGGCCCGCGTCAGGCAGATGCCACACGAACCAGGCGACCCGTGGAGGAAGGGAGTGCTCCCCTATACACAGCTGTGGCAACCTGGGGTCAGCCCGCAGCTGTGCTGGCCAGACGCAAGTGAGCCAAGGAATGAATGGAGGCCGTGAGGCCGGGCCCGTGATGGCTCCGTGGAGGCTGTGTGGCTGGGCCCATGCGGGCTCCATGGAGGGCGTGTGGCCGGGCCCGTGATGGCTCCATGGAGGCCGTGTGGCTGGGCCCATGCGGGCTCCATGGAGGGCGTGTGGCTGGGCCCGTGATGGCTCCATGGAGGGCGTGTGGCTGGGGGCTGTGCTGGGCCTATTGGAACTCTGTGTGTTTGTGTGTGTGTGTGTGGGGGGGGGGGGGGTCCCCTTTTGCTCTCAGGACTGCGGGTTGGGGAAGGGTTAGTGGGGCCCTCGGGCAGTCTCTGTGGCTCCCGGGCCCATCGAGGGAGTAGAGACCGCTGCTGGGCAGAGGGCACTGGGCGCTGCAGAGGACCCCCGGTCAGGATGTGCTGCGGAGAGTGACACTGGCGCGGCAGAAAGGGAGCGGGGGTGGGGGGGCTGGCAGGAAGACCGGCTGGGGGGGCCCTGGGGACTAGAGTGGGGGTGGGGGCCAGGCCTGAGGAGCTGCAGCAAGGGAAGGAAATGGGGCCCCTGCCTGCCCGCAGACCCCCGCCTGGGGAAGCTGTGCGTGGGCAGCGGGCATGTGTGCACATGTGTGTCTGGGTGAGCGTGTGTGCCTGTGCGTGTGTGTCGTCTGTGCATGTGTGTCTGTGTGTCTGTGTCTGTGTGCATGTGTGTGTGTGCCTGGCTGGGTGTGTGTGTGTCTCTGTGTGTGCTTGTGTCTGTGTGCATGTGTCTGTGTGCATGTGTGGGTGTGCCTGGCTGGGTGTGTGTGTGTCTGTGTGTCTGTGCATGTGTGTGTGTGCCTGGCTGGGTGTGTGTCGTCTGCGCACGTGTGTTTGTGTGCCTGTGTGCATGTGTGTGTGTGCCTGGCTGGGTGTATGTGTGTCTCTGTGTGTGCTTGTGTCTGTGTGCCTGTGCCTGTGTACCTGGCTGGGTGTGTGGGCGTGCATGTGTCTGTGTGCATGTGTGTGTGTGTACCTGGCTGGGTGTGCGTGCGTGTGTATGTGCACGTGTGTCTGTGTGCCTGTGTGCATGTGTGTGTGTGTGTACCTGGCTGGGTGTGTGTGCGTGTGTGTGTGCACGTGTGTCTGTGTGCCTGTGCCTGTGTGCCCGAGCGCGCGTGTCCCCGTGCGCGCGCGTGTCTGCGCGCATGTGTCCGCGCGCGCGCGTGTCCGTCGGGGCGCGCGTGCCCGGGCCGCCCGCCCGCCCCCCGCCCGCCGCCCCGGCCCCGCCGCCCCCGGCCCGCGCCCGGCGGCACCTGGTGAAGGCGAAGTACATGAGGCTGACGGTGGTGAAGCTGAGCAGCGTGATGGTGTGCGGCCGGTAGAAGAAGTCGATGGTGATGTCCTCCACCTGCTGCTCGTTGATCATGCGGAAATGCGCGCGGTAGTTCACGTCGTCCTTGCTCAGCGTCCGGCTGCCCACGCAGGCCGCCATGCCCGCGCCCCGGCCCCGCAGCCTGGGACCCCGCGGCGGGCACGGGCCGCGGCGGCGGCGGCGGCGGCGGCGGGCGGCTCCGGCGCGGGGCGAGGCAGGGCGGCGGGCAGGCCGCGCGGGGCGGGGCCTCGCAGGCGGGGGCGGGGCCGCGCGGCGGCGGGCGCGGGGCGGGGCCGAGGCTTGGTGGCGGGCGGGGCTTCGTCCGGGCGGGGCCTCGGGGAGCGGGGCGGGGCCGCGGCGGAGGCGCGGGGCGGGGCCTCGGCAGGCGGTGGGCGGGGCCTCGTGCTGGTGGGCGTGGCTTTGTCCGGGCCGGGCCTCGGGGAGCGGGACGGGCCTCGGCGGCGGGCGCGGGGCCAGGCCTCGGGATGGGCGGGGCCTCGGCGGAGGGCGCGGGGCGGGGCCTCGGGAGGTGGTGGTGGGCGGGGCCTCGCGGTGGTTGTGGGCGGGGCTCCGCCCGGGCGGGGCCTCGGGGAGCGGGACGGGGCCTCGGCGGCGGGCGCGGGGCGGGGCCTCGGGAGGTGGTGGGCGGGGCCTCGTGGCGGACGGGGCTTCGTCCGGGCAGGGCTTCGGGGAGCAGAACGGGGCCTCGGGTGGGCGGGGCCACGCCGGCGGCGCGGGGCGGGGCCTCGGGAGGTGGTGGGCGTGGCCTCGGCGGCGAGCGCGGGGCGGGCCCGGGCGGGAGGCGCGGCCTCCCTGGCGGCGTGGGCGGGGCCTCCGGGGAGGCGGAGCCCAGCGTGGGGGGGGCCGAGGTCGCGGGGCGGGGCCTCGGCCTGGTCCACGCGGGCCCGGGAGGCCGGGGGCGGCCGAGCACACGCGGATCCCGTTTCGCGCCGGGCCGGGCCGGGCCGGGGCGAGGCCAGCGGACGAGGCGGTTTAGGTAACGGGGCCGGCCGGGCGCGGGGCCTCGGGGGCTGCCCGGACGGTGGCTTCCGCGTGGACAGACGGGCAGGGCCGGAGCCCGAGAGCGGACTGGGCAGGCGCGCGTGCAGCCCGGCCCCCAGCGGGGCCCCCGGCGCGGGGGGTGGGCCACGGCGGCAGAGGTCAAGGCCGCGACCCCAGGGGGCCTCGTGGACAGGGAGACTCGGAGCCGGCTTCTGGGGCTCCTGGACTTTGTCCACCAGTAAAGCCCTTTTGTGGCCGCTTTTGTGTTTTGGGCCACCCCGGCGATGCTCAGGCTTCCCCGGCTCCGCGCCCCAGGGACTCCTCCCCGGGACCCTGGGGGATGATGCCCGGGATGATGCCCGGGATGTTGCCCGGGATGATGCCCGGGATGTTGCCCGGGATGATGCCCGGGATGATGCCGTGGCCACCTAAGGCACAGGCCTCCCCGCCGTCCTGTCGCTCTGGCCCCTCGCAACCCTTTTCACCCAAGAAATGTTCACACCATCAAGACATTTTAAGGCATCTCGAATCGCATCTAACATTGATTCCAATATATATCATCAGATTTTTTCATCTTAAAACGAATCTTCCAGGGGCTGGAGCTATAGCACAGCGGGTAGGTGGTTGGCCTAGCCAGCAGCGGACCCAGGTTCGATTCCCAGCATCCCACAGGGTCCCCCAAGCACTCAAGCCAGAGCCAGGAGGAACCCCTGTGCATTTCCAGGTGTGACCCAAAAAGAAAGAAAAAGAAACCCAAGACGAATTTTCCAGCTTTTCTCTGCCACATGCCCCGCCCCACCCCAGTTGGGATTTCAAAGCAGCTCTTTCCATCCGATGCAAAGGAGCCCGAGCGGAAGGCCTGGCCCCACTGGAACACTTCCTCTGCAGAAAAGGAGTATTTCAGGTCGGAGGGGGAGCGACAAAGGTGGAAGCCCCTTTCCGACCCGAATTTAACAAAAATAGCAGGTTCCTAGAGACTCTTCGCATCCTTTATTTCCAAAACCATTTCAGAATGAGGGTTGCAGAGATAGTCCAGTGGGTAGGGTGCTGGCCTTGCATGGGACGCAGGTGGGGGTTTGATCTTGGGGATCATTTATGATTCCCTGAGCCCCACCAGGAGTGATTCCCTCAACACCAGGTGTGGCCCCAAAACCAGAACAAAAAAAAAATCATTTCAGAATGACAGACCTGGCTTCTCTCAATGACCGCCACATCTACTTGGTTAGACCCACGAGTGTTTTCATCGAATTCAGAGCATAAAACCAGCTGAATTCCACCACTCAGGGAGAAAAAGCAAAAAGTTGTGTGTGACAGTTAATTCAGCGGGGCTCGTTTATGTCTGGCGTTCTAATATCGGTTGAGTGCTTTTCCATTTGCCTTGCTAGGTTTTATACGGATTGGCTTTAAATTTTCGTAAAACTGCATGCCCCTAATTTGCCTTTCTAGTTAAGCTGGCTAAATAAGTTCCTTTTTATTCCTGAAATTTAAAGGAGCAACAACCGTTTCCGAGAGAGATCTTATTTTAAACCTACTTTTCTACTTAGGATATGCTTGTATTTGTTGCTGATTGCTTCTTTATTTCTACCTCTTCGTTTGCTTGTGAGTTTTGACCTTTTCTGTTGTGAAGACTTTGCTTCTTCCTCTTTTTTTTCTCCAGAGAGACAGAATTTGACTAACGCTGGTCTTGAGGGCCGGCCTTATCCATGGAATCATCAAGTGCTCAATTCTGAGGATGGAGCAAGAATCCACTGACTCTGTAGCAGGGATAATGCTTTGATGATTCCCGGATGACAGTGCTTTTTACTTTGTGACGAATGTATCTGCAGAAGCAGCATTTGAAAAATTCAGTGCTGTTCTGATCAGCAGTCTGCTTTGTAACTGTCCTTCAAACAATTTCAAGGACACCTAATGGCATCACGTAATTTCCTTTAAATGAACAAAATAGATTCGTCGGGCTGAGCTGTCCTTGGTGCCTTTACAGATTTTTATGATAACATTTCCCTCATACCAGTGGTTTTTGCTTTTGAGCTTTTTTCATTTATGAAACCTCCCCGTTTTTGTTGGGGGAGGGGGTGGATTGGGAGCCCTGCATGGCCATGCCCAGCAGCTGTCTCCTGGCTCTGCTCCGAGGACCATCCGTGGTGCCCGGACTCAAACCAGGTCCAGGCCATGCAGCCACATGCAAGGCAAGTTCCTTCTGTCCTGTGCTGTCTCTTGGGCTCCGTATCTTTATTCCTCTAGTTAAGAAGTACCTGTCTTGGGGCTGGAGAGATAGCACAGCGGGTAGGGCGTTTGCCTTGCACGCGGCCGACCCGGGTTCGATTCCCAGCATCCCATATGGTCCCCTGAGCACCGCCAGGAGTAACTCCTGAGTGCAGAGCCAGGAGTAACCCCTGTGCATCGCCAGGTTTGACCCAAAATGCCAAAAAAAAAAAAGTACCTGTCGTTTAGTTTGTAACCAAGCCAGCCTTTCTGTTGGCCTTTTAGGACATCTTTTGTGGAAGATGCTTTTTTTTTTTTTTCATTTTTCCATTGGGGGGCCACACCCAGTGATGCTCCGGCCTTACTCCTGGCTCTGCACTTGGGAAGTACTCAGGAATCACATTGTCTGAGGGACCACGTGGGTTGTCGGGGATCGAACCCAGGTCGACCACATGCCAGACTAGCTCCCTCCCCGGTGTCCTGTCGCTGCAGCCCCAGGGAGGGTGCTCTCGGACACGTCCACACAGCGTGTGCGTCTCGTTGTTGAAGCTTCGATTTCTCCTTTCATAGGCCGCTTGAGGGAAGATGGCTTTGTTTGCCCAGCAGATACCCAGATGGCTCCACCCAGCCAACGTGAGACGCCTTATTGGCGCGGCACAGCTCACAACATACGTCCTCCGACCGCGAGCCCCACTGCTGTGTGATACCGCTGCCCAGCTTCGGAGGGGACTTGGGCCTTCCAGGACTTCCGCCTTCGGGACAAGCATCCCCCCTGCCAACTCTGGCGGGCAGGGGACACACGCTGTCCCGAGCACTGGGCAGCCTCCTGTGAGCCAGGGCAGCCTCGCATGCCCCAGGCCAGACTTGGATTCTGCACTCTCGCTGGAAGGTAACTGAGCTCCAGGACTGGAACCACGGGTGCATTCTCCCCGCTAGCCCCTGGCAGGGTGACCTTTGTGCTAGGCATGAAAAAAAGAACAGTGCCACTTCTGTTCTTTTCCTCTGTTTGTTATCTCATGAGTTACAGACGTGTAAGCATGTGCGGAAGTTGGTGAGGTTTTATATAAACTAAATTGATCTTTTTGAGAGCACATGCTTCTGTATGTTTTGACGGAGGCGTTCGCAGTGTTCACCAGTGACCGCCATTAACAAGTGGGATTTCTGTTTGACTAGCAAAAGCTCCTGAGTGGCACAGGATGTAACCACTGCCATTCTCCTATGCCTGAAATATTCCCATGCAAGAAATATTTCACACCAGTGAGAGAACATGGAAAGCTGGGGAGTGCAGGGCAGGGGGTTGGGAAGGGCTGGCTGTGGGCAGGGGAATGTGTGGAAAATATCAGGTTTCCATTCCTTAGCTTTGGGCAGGTAACAGTTTCTAGTATCTTCCATACGTGATTTAAAAAAAGACACCTAGGGACAGTGGACTTGGGCCCAACGGTCTTACATCTCAGTGGACTTAACGGTCAGTGGAGCTTTAGCATTCTGACAAGTGGACTGAAAATGGAGAGGAGGAGTTTGTGGAGTCCGGACTGGCCAACACATTCCTCCCACGGAGAAACGCAGGTTCCTGCTCCCACAGCAGCTGCCCTTGGCCCCACTGCTCAGACGGAAGAGGAAGTTTGGATCCCTTCGATGTTTCTCAGACAGAAGTGGACATCCACGTTCCTGAGATGTTCCTCAGATGGAGAAGAACATTCGGGCCCCTGAGATGTTTCTCTTAAGAGAACATTGGGTCATGTCTCTTCTGCAGACCACAGCACCCAATAGGAGAGATATAACAAAAGGGAGTGCCCTGACACAGAGGCAGGGTGGGATGGGGGATGGGGGGGAGGGAGGGATACTGGGATTGGTGGGGGTGGAGAGTGGGCACCGCTGGTGGGATGGGTACTCGATCATTGCATAACTGAAACCCAAGCACAACAACTTGTAAGTCTACAACTGTACCTCATGGTGTTTCACTAATAAAAGAAAAAAGAGAGAACATTGGGTCTCTTAGACATTCCTCTGAAAAGAACTTCGGGTCTCTTAGACGTTTCTCTGAAGAAAAGAGAGGGTCCCTTAGATGTTTCTCTGAAGAGAACATTTGTGTCCCTTAGACGTTTCTCAAACAGAAGAGAATATTTGGGTACCTTGGGTGCTTTTCAGAAAAGAATACCGGGGCTCCTTAGACGTTCAACCCAGAACCAAGCCCGAGGCCCCCAAAGACACCAAAGACAGAAGCTGAGATTGCTGCTGGGTGGGAAGCCGCTCTCAGTTGGGGCTGGCGCACTCATGGCCCCTCTCTCTTTCCACACGGCTGGCTTCCCAGAACTCGATGATTTGCCGCCCAGGTCTCCACTGCAGCCTGTGTCTGAGGAGGAGGCCGTTCGGATCGTTGCAGACCCCCCATCACCGCCGTCTTCCTTCACCCTTCGAGATTATGTGGATCATTCGGAGACGCTGAGGCAGCTAGTGCTGCTCGGTGAGTCTGACACAGACGTGAGCACCCTTCTGGCTTCTTTGGCAGGTTGTTAAAGTGAGCGTTTTGAATTTGTTTTGCTGGGGCGGGGGGCGGGGGGGGGGATTGTTGGGGCACACCCAGCAGTGCGGGGAGGAACCATGCAGCACCGTCAGCCAAAGGTGTGGCCGGCTGAACCGTCTCTGGCCCCGACGTTTGAAGTCTCAAATGAATGACTGTGCGTCCGTGAGCCGGCGTCCTCCTTCTAGCCTCAGCAGCCTATCCCCAGAGCTTGCTTTATTTATGTATTTATTTATTTATTTATTTTGCTTTTGGGGTCACGCCCGGAGATGCAGAGGGGTTCCTCCTTACGCTGCACTGAGAAATCACTCCTGGCGGTGCTCAGGGGACCCTTTGGGATGCTGGGAATCGAACTCATGGCATGTGCGTGAAAGGCCAACGCCCTACCCACTGTGCTATCGCTCAGCCCCAAGCTTGTAGAGCCTTGGGATCGCGACGCTGCCGTCTGTGTTTTCACTTATGGGGCTGTGGCTGTGTGCTTCCGTCTCAGGCATCAGCAGAGTGGTGTGCCTGTGTGCGTGTGTATGTATGCATGGGCATCTGTGCACGTGTCTGCCTGTGCTTATGTTTGTGTGTGTCTATGTGTGTGTGTGTCTCTCTCTCTCCCTCTCTCTCCCTCTCTGTCTCTTCCTCCCTCTCTGATTCTCTCTCTTTGGCTCTTTCTGTTCCTCTGACTCTCTCTATCTCTGTCTCTCCCTCTCTTTCTCTGTCTGCGTCTCTCCCTCTGACTCTGGGTATGTGTCTTCCTCTGACTCTCTGTCTGTCTCTCTCTCTCTTCTCCCCCAGCCCCCAACTCCCCGCCCCTTCCTCTGATTCTTCCCTCTCAGGCTTCTATTCAGTCCTTCTGTTTCCACTGTCACCTTATTTTTTTTTTGGGGGGGGGGGTCACACCCGGTCATGCACAGGGGTTACTCCAGGCCCATGCACTCAGGAATTACTCCTGGCAATGCTTGGGGGACCTTACGGGATGCTGGGATTCGAACCCAGGTCACCCGTGTGCAGAGCACAAGCCCTACCACTGTGCTGTCACTCCAGCCCCGCCACTGTCACCTCATTGCCACCCCAACTTTCCCGCTTCCTCTGGGCTCCCTCTCTGTCTGCGGGTCTGTCACCCGGCCCTCCTGCGCTCACGGCATGTGTACTTAAGGGTGCTTTGGCTGTACGCTGGGAGAGCCCTGTGCAGCTCAAGTGAAATTCTGTGTCCGACAAAGGCGTCGTTCCTGCATTTCCTCCACTGGCGAGTGAGTGTCACCTTTATTTCAATGAACAGTGCATTTTACCCACCATGGGGAGATGACAGAGGAAGTAAAGCAGCGGAAGGATTTTAATCTTTCGTCGCAGGGACCCTACACATATTTCAGGGAAAGAATCTGAAGGAAATGATCTTGGTTTTCTGTCCCACACCCAGCAGTGCTCAGGGTTCACTCCTGGCACAGTGCTCCAGGGCCCACACCGGGTGCCAGGCATTGAACCCGGGTGGTTCCGTGCCAGTGAAGTGCTTTACCCCCTGGAATATCCCTCCAGCCCCAGAAGTGAGGTTTTTTTTGTTTGTTTGTTTGGTTTTTTTTTTTTTTTTTTGCTTTTTGGGTCACACCTGGCAATGCATAGGAGTTCCTCCTGGCTCTGCACTCAGGAGTTACTCCTGGCGGTGCTCAGGGGACCATATGGGATGCTGGGAATCGAACCCGGGTCGGCCGTGTGCAAGGCAAACGCCCTACCTGCTGTGCTATCGCTCCAGCCCCAGAAGTGAGTTTTTAAGTCAAATAAAGTAACCATTTGTCGAGGCGTGCCCTGCAGAATTAGCAGTTAGGCAGCCACTGCAGAGACAGCCAGAGGCCACGGGCATCTTTCCCTCCAGCGGGTCCCTGAGCCTGAGTTAAGAGAAGGGCACAGGGCCATAGCCGAGGGGACTGTCCAGGGCGGGAAGAGCCCACAAAGCCCTGCCTTCCTTTGCACGTGGCTTTGAAGGAAATGCTGTATTCTCATTTTGTGTATTTATTTTTTTACTTTCTGCAGCCAGTTTAGTTTTCAAGCTCTCAGAAGCGTGCGTGGCCATCCCAGCCCTGGAGTCGCCTGTCTGCTCTCCGTGAAGCCCAGGCTGGCTGAGCCCAGCGGGGTCTCTGAACGTTTTGTTTTTTTTTCCCTCGTTCTAGGCGTGGATTTGTCCAAGATAGAGAAGCATGCGGACGCCGCCAACCTCCTGCTGAGACTGGATTTCGAAAAGGACATTAAACAGCTACTCCTGTTTCTGAAAGATTTGGGCATCGAGGATAATCAGCTGGGGCCGTTCCTGAGCAAAAATTACGCTATTTTCTCGGAAGACCTTGAAAATCTCAAGACCAGGTAGGCCCTCAGGATGAGTCTCACCAAACCCCCAAAATGATTGGTGTCAGGCCCCACCCGGTTCCAGCGCTTCAGCCGCTGTTGAAGTTGCCAGATCTGAAGGTGACGAACGCTCAGCCTTCAGCAGGTCCGCGGGAAACGGGCCTTGCGCTCAGCACCGGTGTTGCACAGAGCCCGGCCGGCGCCTTCAAGGGGAAAGTCATGACGGTTCCCTGATCCGTGTTTGCCTCGCCATCTGGAGACCCTAAAAGGGCTCATTCTGTCCTTCCCCAGCACGCTCTGACTTGCCCAGATGATGCTCCTGAAGACCCCACCTGTTCTGCTCAGGGCCCTCCCAATCTTGGGGTCATTGTCAGGGACATGATTTCCCATGCACACGTGCTGGCCTCTGCCACTCAGCTGTCTCCCCAGGGAGGGCCTTTACCGCGCGCCCTGTTCTTTCTATATGTTTTGTTTTGTTTTGTTTTTTTGCTTTTTGGGTCACACCTGGCAATGCACAGGGGTTCCTCCTGGCTCTGCACTCAGGAGTTACTCCTGCCGGTGCTCAGGGGACCATATGGGATGCTGGGAGTCGAACCCGGGTCGGCCGCGTGCAAGGCAAACACCTTACTCGTTGTGCTATCTCTCCAGCCCCGCCCTGTTCTTTCTGACTCTGGGATAGTTCATTCCTGCTCTGCCCGTCAAGCCCTTTGCTAGTGGCGTCTTCTCAGTTAGCCCCGAGTGACACTGGTACATAGGCTCGGTGCCTTGGGGTTTGCGTTGATGACTTCAGAGAGGAATTTGCTATTGATGACTTAATAGAGGAATTTCCAGTTTATACTCCAGTAATGGAACTGGACGAGCCCGTTCCCGGCGACCCTCACAAAGACTGCTATAAACCCGTGTATTTCCTTTCCTTTATGCAGCGTATGTTTTGTTCTTCTTTGGCAAATGCTGCTTGGAGCCTCTTCTCCCTTGCCAGATTTCTATCTCCATTTTGTCTTTTCCATAAATCATTTGTAGCCTTTGTCAGTTTTGAATCTGCCTTCTCTTTTGCGGTAAGTTTTCTTTTACATACAGGAAGAATTAGCTCTTCCTGACATCGTATAGTAATTTCCCTGAAAGTATTTTGTCTTTGATTCATTGGATTTTTTTTTTCCATCTTGCATTTTTAAAATAGTTTTTCTTTCTTTGTTGTTGCTGTTGGTTCTGCCTCCTGAGCGATGTTGGGGACCCAGGAGCCAGTCCTGATTGTCCTACGTGATTCAGGGCTAGACAGCAGCTCTGAGTAACATGTATCTATCCTTGTGATGTGGACATTTTACCTGACTCGTGTATTTTTGCTTTATTATTTTGGGGTAGAAAGTAAACAAAATAACTGTGCTCTATGAGAGGTATATACTAAAATAAAGTCACCAATCATGTGACTTGATTGTCAGACTTTCTGTACTTCTGCTTTATTTGGGTAACGGTAATTAGCAGGAAATTTCTGACTTAACAAAAATAGATCATCAGAGACGATGCTGCAGATTACTCACGAAAATGCGTGTTCAATGTATGCGCTCAAATAAGTGCCTTTGTTTCAGCAATTTCTGAGGAACTTTGATACAAGAATTCTGAATTTTAGTAGTTCCTTAATGTGTGATTTTTCTGTCTTTAACAAAAAAAATCCTGGTATTTCTTTTTTTTTTTTTAATCATGTCATAAATTAAGTCAGAAAACTGAAATGAGAATTTCCAGTGGATTTCAGGATGTTTTCTGGTTTGAGATTTGGCAGGGTGCTTATTTTGTTTTAACCACATTTGGGTCATTATCATGGGATGTTTTTCCTGACCCTTCTGTGTGTGTCAGGGGCTGGGGGGGTCCATTTTAAAATCAGCCGTGACTTTGGGAAGTAGCATGAGAGTTTACCGTGTCTGTGTGTGTTTTTGTTCGGTTCCCTAGAGTGGCTTATCTGCAGTCAAAGAACTTCAGCAAGGTGGATATCACACAGATGGTCCGAAACGCACCTTTCCTGCTGAGTTTCTCAGTGGAAAGACTGGACAACAGATTGGGATTTTTCCAGAAAGAACTTGAACTTAGCGTGAAGAAGGTAACAGAAGAGAACTTGCAAATTTTCCACAGCTGCCGTCTTTCGTAACTGGATTTTTGTTTCATTTTCTTTTGTCTTTGGATTTGGGCCACACCTAGCAGTGCTCAGGAATGACTCCTGGCGGTCTTGGGGGACCATAGAGGGTGTTGGGGGATTAAACCTGGTTCCACCGCATGTAAGGGAGATGCCCTGCCTGTGTGTGCAGTATAGTATCACTCAGCCCTCTTTCCTAACGGTTAAAGCTCCTATTTCTAAGAGGAGCTCTGTGAGCATCTGCCATGTTTGTGCATATAAACCACTCTCTGTGTTAAGCATCACGATCACGACCACGACCATCCTGTTGTTCGTCGATTGCCTCGAGCAGGCCCCAGTAACGTCTCCTTCGTCCTAGCCCTGAGATTATTTTAAAAAGTGCCATATTCAAGGCTCTTTCAGGGTCAGGAGAATGAGACCCATCCTTGTTACTGGTATTTGGCATCTTGGGTACGACACGGGGAGTTTGCCAGACTCTGCCGTGTGGGCAGGTCACATTCGGTAGCCTGCCAGTTTGCCCAGAGTAGGAATGAGATAATAAGATCGTATTAAGCATAATTTTACAATAATAAACCCAGGTGGTCCCTGAAGTGTTCGCCTTTGCCTCAGAACTGCATGAAGTCGCTGATTCCCTGGTTCCAGCCCTTGGCCTTCTTTGGCCTGGTTCTGGCCATGCTGTTGGTTTTCCAAATCCCCGAGTAACGGGGGGTTCTCTCACCCCCAGACGAGAGACCTCGTGGTCCGTCTCCCGCGGCTGCTGACGGGAAGCCTGGAGCCCGTGAAGGAAAACATGAAGGTAGGACGGGGGGAGCCTCGGGTCGGCGGGAGAGGGAGATCTGCACACTTGGCGGCTTAGAGGGAACTCGCGTTTCTGGAAGAAGCCCAGTGCTCTGCTCAAGTCGCTCTCCCAGGAGTTGCTTGTCCGGCAGACAGAAACGACCGGGGAAGTGTTGGGTGGGACCCGTCCCTCACCCACCCCAAGCGCCATGTGTCTGTTGCAGGGATGTGACTCCCAGAGGCCAGGGAGGGAGCAGTGGGCAGCACTGGCTGGGCTCTGGCTGTCACAGATGGAGTGATGACTGGGGAGGGGGCCGTGCACAGAGGCGGCAGTGCCTGCCGTGACCACTGCCCGCTGTTTGCGGATGTTCTGGGAGTATTTTGTCTCCAGCCGTTGGAGCCCCTGCTGGGCTCTTGCGTGGCGCTGCTCTGGGCCCCGGGGATGGCCGTGACCTGGAGCTGCCCACTACTGTCTAGCAGGGACAGCCCGGCTGAGGGCAGTGACCCGAGGGGGAACTGTCTGGAGTGCACACGCAAGCCTTACCCCCTAGCAGGGACTTGGACTCATCCTCTCTGGCATCTTGGCCCACATTTCCTCTGTAGATAACACCTGGGTGGGTGCAGGTGGGGACGGGCTCCGGGGGTGCCGGGCGAATCTTCCCGCTGGTCCGTGTGCTGGAAGAGGCCTTCGGAGAACCTGAGGTCCCCGCTCCCCTGGAAACAGCTTTCTGTTGCTTTCCATTTCATTCTCTACTTTGTTATAAGTTTTCCCAGTTGTTCATAATGCTGTTGTCTCGGGCATTCAGCGTCCCAGCCCCAGTGCCATCACCAGGGTGCCCTTCCCTCCGCCAGGGTCCCCGGTTTTCTGCCCACCCCATTAATAAACACAAGCAAATTTACATCAGATTGTTTGTTACAACACACAGGTAAATGGAATTCTAGAAAGAAAAAAAAAGTCAATGAAAGTCAGTTTGTGGGGCCAGTGCCAGAGCATAGCGGTTAAGGAGTTTGCCCTGCATGCGGCTGGCTCAGGTTCAATCCCTTGACACCCCATCTGATACCCCGAGACCGTGAGGAGTCAGTCATCCCTGAGTGCAGAGCCAGGAGACACCACTGAGCATTGCTGGGTGTGACCCAATCCTCCTCTCTCCACCCCCCCCCCAACAAAAGTCAGTTCATGATCATCATCATTCCATATCACAGTGATGTTCCTGGGTCCTTGTCTGGGGGTCCCCGTGAGGTTGGTGCTCGTTGAACCTCGCTGAGCTTGGTGGGCTTCTGTGCAGCTTTCTTGTCCGATTGGCTACGGTCCCCTGGGCTGGCAGCACTGGGAAATCTGGGGGTGTCATCGGGACGACTTTTGCTTGGCCTGTTAGTGGCCCGGGCCCAGGAGAAGGCAGTGGTCCCGTGAGGGCTGGGCACCACTCTCCCAACCTGAATGCTCTCGGGAGAAGCCCCCCTGCCCCGGCGTCATCCCAAGGCCTTTCCTCCTGCCTCCCCCCACGGCCCTGCTCCGTGTCACTCAGGTTTACAGCCTCGAACTCGGCTTTAAACGGAATGAGATTCAGCACATGGTCACCAGGATCCCGAAGATGCTAACGGCCAACAAGAGGAGGCTGACCGAGACGTTCGATTACGTGCACAACGAGATGGGGGTACCCCACCACCTCATGGTCAGGTTCCCTCAGGTGAGGGGGTGGGCGGCCAGGTGCTTGGGAGGAAGCAGCCCAGAGGCAGTGGCGGCCCCAGTCACCTGAAACTCCAGTTTTCCACCCATCTTTTTGTCAGGAACCCCCACCCCCACTCCCCCAACCAAGAGCCAACAGAGTAGGGACCTCCTGGGATGGGACAGCTCATGGCTTTCAGGACTCTTCTGAGATATGCATGCAGCTGCATTTCACCACCCCTCTTCCCCCACCCCCCCAGGGCTGCCCAGTCCTCGCTCTGCTTTCTAGAATCCAACACATTTCTTCTCGGCTCTGTCCCCGCTGACATCTGAAAGCACTTGCTGCTAGTTCTGCCGCCAAGGCCCTGCATGCAGCCCACCCGGGTTCTAGACCTGGCACTGCATTTGGTCCCCTGAGCCCAAGCCAGGAGTCAGCCCTGAGCACGTCAAAATCAAAATCTGAAGAATGACATCCCTGGGGCTGGAGAGATAGTTTCGGGGGGAGGGCATGTAGCCAAGCTAGAACCCCAGCACCCATATGCCCCCCCAGCCCTGCCTGGAGTGACCCCTGAAAGCAGAGCCAGGAGTAAGTCCTGAGCACCCCGGGGCATCGCCCAAACACAAGGAGGACCAAAAGGGAAGCCAAAGAGAAAGTGAGGCAGATGACTCACTTCTGCTGAGTGGCCTGCCCGGCCCCCGAAGAGAGCCAGCAGCACCAGCTCGGGTGCAGGGCCCCAGTCTCTGGGAATTCCTGGAGTGCCGGGTTTGAAATAAATTTTTTTTTTTTTTGTATTTGCTCGAGCGGGCCCAGTAACGTCTCCATTGGAGACTTTGTTGTTACTGTGTCTGGCATATCGAATACTCTCGGTAGCTTGCCAGGCTCTCCGAGAGGGGCAAGCTACCGAGAGTATTCGATATGCCAGACACAGTAACAACAAAGTCTCCAATGGAGACGTTACTGGGCCCGCTCGAGCAAATCGACGATCAACGGGAGGGCCTTTACCTTTACTTTTACCTTTTTTTGTATTAAGCAGCAGTCATGGGAGTTTGGTTGCCAGGATGAAGGTAGGGCACTTTGTCCTTGGTTTCTGCAGAGAAAAACAGAATTTTGTGCCCCTTGCCAGCCAGTGCCTGTGGAGTTGTCACACTGTTCTTCCAGGGTACAGGCCCATTCACACCCCAACCTACTCACTAGCTGCCTCTCCGCCTGTGGGAAGTTTGAGCCCAGAGCCGGGGAGGGCCCTCTGCCTCCTGGCCGCTCAGCTTCATCCCATCTCCTACCAGTTGGAAAGGGAGCAGTGAGAATAAGAACCCCCGAAATGGTGGGAAGCAACACAAAGGACGTGTCCTTTTGCACTTGGGACTCGTAATTTGTGCACTAGGCTGTCACCCCTGGGCAGTGACGGCACTTCCTGAGCACGCAGCCCGCACGGAGCTGTCAGCCTGTCAACATGTTCTTCCAAAGAAACATTTGTCTTGGAGCTGGAGCGGTAACACAGCGGGTAGGGCGATTACACATCTGCCTTGCACGCGGCCGAACCAGGTTTAATTCCCAACATCCCATATGGTTCCCTGAGCACCGCCAGGAGTAATTCCTGAGTGCAGAGCCAGAAGTAACTCCCGTGCATCGCCGGGTATGACCCAGAAAGAAAAAAAAAAAGAAGAAAAGAAAAGGAAATGTTTGTCTTTCAGTGCACTGCTTACTGAGACCTTGGTTTTATTTCGTTCTTTGTGGTTTTTCCGTTTCCAGGTATTCAACACACGGCTCTTCAAGGTCAAAGAAAGACATTTGTTTCTTCGCTACTTGGGAAGGGCTCAGTACGACCCCACCAAGCCCAGCTACGTCTCTTTGGACAAACTGGTGTCTCTGCCCGACGAGGCATTTTGCAAAGAGATCGCCAAAGCCTCGATGCAGGACTTGGAAACGTTTTTAAAAACCCTTTAGTTTGGGTCGAACGTGCAAGCGTCATCGTGGCATGTGGATAGGCGAATAAATGAACCTATTTTTAAACGAATGGCTCAGGCTTCGGTGGATATTGAGAACGGTTCTGGATCTCGCAAAGTTAAGGTTCACATCTCCTAGATCTTCCTTACGAATTGACGTCACCGTTTTTTTTTCCCAAGAGAGGTCACGATCACGACCATCCTGTTCCTCGATTGCCTCGAGAAGGCCCCAGTAACGTCTCCTTCGTCCTAGCCCTGAGATTACATTCAAGGCTCTTTAGGAGAATGAGACCCATCCTTGTTACTGGTATTTGGCATATTGGGAACGCCACGGGGAGTTTGCCAGACTCTGCCGTGCGGGCAGGTCACATTCGGTAGCCTGCCAGGTTGTCCAAAGTAGGAATGAGATGATAAGATGTCCCCAGGCGCAAGATCCACTTAACTTCCCTAGTTTTGCCTACATTTAGGGGCTGCGCCTGCGCAGTTAACCTCCGTCAGCCCTTTGGCTGCCGCTGCCCCACATTGCGCCTGCGCCAGGGGCGGGTCCGGAGGTGCGGCCCACCCTGCGCCTGCGCAGTTACTCTTCGTCTTCCCATTGGCTGCCTCTGGTCCAGCTGTGCCTGCGCGGGGGGCGGGTCCGGACGTGCGCTCCACCCTGCGCCTGCGCAGTTACTCTTTGTCTTCCCATCGGCTGCCTCCGGCTCAGCTGCGCCCGCTCGGGGGCGGGTCCGCAGGCGCGCCCCACCCTGCGCCTGCGCAGTTAGTTACCATCCGTCTTCCCATTGGCTGCCACCCTGCGCCTGCGCGGGGGGCGGGTCCGGAGGCGCGCCCCACCCTGCGCCTGCGCAGTGACTCTTCGTCCTCCCATTGGCCGCCGGCAGTTGCCTTCCGTCTTCCCATTGGCTGCCGTCGGCCCCGCCGCGCCTGCGCAGTCGTCCTCCCCGGCCCGCGACCTCCAGGACGTTCCCAGCATCCCCCTCTCCGGTCGTCATGGCGGGCAGGCAGACAGGTAGGCGGCCGGGGGGCTCCCGGGAGGGTCGCGCGGGCGGGGCCGGGGGGCGGCGGCGGGGCGTGGACAGTCGTGGGCGTGCGGCGGGGTCCCCAGCTCGAGTTCCCCCTCCTCGGGGGCCGGGCCGGGCCGGGTCGGCGCTTGCTCCTTCCGGGTGTCCTCGCCCCGCCCGGTGCCCGGAGCGTCCCTGGCTGGGGGCGGTGGGCAGGGGTAGGGAGTGGGGGGCAGCCGGACACTCGGCTGGACACGACTGCTGTGGACTCGGGGCCGTCGGGCTCTCCCCGGCGCAGCTGACCCTGACCTTGGCCGGCCCGGCTGCCCCTTTTTCGGGGGGCGGGGGTGGCACCCAGCGATGCTCAGGGGTCCCGCCTGGCTCTGCGCTCAGGAATGACCCCTGGGGGGTGCTCGGGCGACCCTCTGGGATGCCGGGGATCGAACCCCAGCACGCAGGACCTGTGCCTTCTCTCTTGACCCCCTTGACCCGGTGTCACTGTTTTCCATAAGAGCATATAAAGCATTTGCATGGTGGGTTTGGGGTTTTTGTTTTGGCTTTGGGGGTCGCGCCCGGGGATGCTCAGGGACCGCTTCTGGCTCTGCACTCAGGAATCCTACCTGTCAGTGCTTGCTTGGGGGTGGCCCAGCCCTTGCTGGGATGCCGGGGATCGAACCCAGGTCGGCTGCCTCTGCAAGGCAGACGCCCTCCCCGCTGGCCTGTCACCCCAAACCCTGTGCCTCTGGTTTTTATTTATTTATTTATTTATTGCTTTTTGGGGTCATACCTGGCAATACACAGGGGTGACTACTGGCCCATGCACTCAGGAGTTACTCCTGGCGGTGCTCAGGGGACCCTATGGGATGCTGGGAATCGAACCCGGGTCGGCCGCGTGCAAGGCAAATGCCCTACCCACTGTGCTATGTGCTATTGCTCCAGCTCAGATCTGTTACCCTCTTTTGTTTGTTTTTTTTTTTTGCTTTTTTGGGTCACACCTGGCGATGCTCAGGGGTTCCTCCTGGCTCTGCACTCGGGAGTTACTCCTGGCGGTGCTCAGGGGACCACATGGGATGCTGGGAATCGAACCTGGGTTGGCCGCGTGCAAGGCAAACGCCCTCCCCGCTGTGCTATCGCTCCAGCCCCCGCCTCTCTTTTTTTTTTTTTTTTAAAAAAAAGACCCAAGCAACAGCAGACCAGTTAGTGTGGGCTCGAGCGCCCTGGACCGCGTGTGGACACGGAGTCTTGCCTTCTGACCACTGCACCCTGGGCCTCTTGGTGGGATTGTTTCCAGTAGTTGAATACGTGGCTCTGTCAAGTAGAGCTGTGAGCTGCTGATCTTATTGATTGATTGATTGATTGATTGATTTTAAAAAATCGTTGCCATCACCTGTGACAAACAAACTGCTTACTTTAAGGTCAGAAAGAGGGAAACTGGGCAAGTCATGAAGGAGAAGGCGCGTGCCCATAGAGAAGGGTCCACAAGCCCGTGGCGCCCAGTTGCCACGATTTCTCCAGACGTGTTGCCGATCGGATGTACGCAGGAGGCTGCGGGGAAGGCAGGGGTGCTGGCCAAAGGAGATGTGGCCGCCCTTCCTCTTCTGGCTCGGGGCTGACTGGAGCCGGGGTGCGTTTGTCTGGCTGCACCCAAGGGGCTACCTCGGCCCTGAATTTCCGTGGCTTATATTGAGGCTGAGGGGAAGCGTTGTCTACTACGCTGTCATTTATGTGTTTTGGTTTTGGGGGTCACGCCCGGTGGTGCTCAGGGCTGACTCCCGACTCTGCACTCGGGGATCACTCGTGGTGGGGCTCGGGGAACCATCTGGATGCCGGGGGTGGAATTCGGGTCCGCTAGACGGAAGGCCAGTGCCCTGCCCGGCCTGCGATGGCTCCCGCCACTTACAGAGGGCGGCCAAGTGAAATCAAGGGCACTTCGAAGGGAAGTAGGGGAGAGTGCCCTGGTGCCTACCCCACGGGGAAGAAGAGTTGGCAGTCTCGCCCTGCAGTCCCTTCCCCGGCCAGCCTTGGTCGGCCCTGCAGGGCACTGTGCTCCATGGACCTTATCTCTTTGTGCCTTTTCCCTCATGGCTTGCCCAGTTTCCCTCCTTTTCACAGTCATTTTTGTAGAGTCAAAAGAAGCAGTCTGTTTGTAGGTGCCTATCACAGCGATTCATTTTAACATTGTTATTCTGCAGTGACGCGGTTCTCCCGATGTTCATCAGTTTGCTCAAGCGGGCACCAGTGACGTCTCCATTGTGAGGCTTGTGACTGTGTTTGGCGTAGCTTTGCCGTGCGGGCGGGATACTCTCGGTAGCTTGCCGGCTCCAAGAGGGGCGGAGGAACAGTGATTCGCTAAATAAATTAATTAAATAAGCAGTTTGCAGCTCTGGTTGATACTGACGCGGACTTTGCAGAGAAATTCCTTCCTGTGTGCGAGCTCACAAGGTCCCAGGTGAGAGTCACCTTGAGCTGCAGCCACTAATCTGTGCCCTTTTGTTTCTGTCAGTCCAAGCCTCGGGCCGGTGGCTGGAGGGCCTTCGGAAGTGGTATTACAATGCTGCTGGCTTCAACAAACTGGGTGAGTAGATGGTTTCTTTCTGGGACCTCCTGGTGTTGTGTCTTCGGAGGGTTGTGCTTTTATAGACGTCATTTTGATTTAGGAGGTTGTTCACTTGCCCCTATGAGCACTAGACGATGCCTTTAATTAGGCCCCGTTGTAGTCCCAACCCATTTCTTTTTGACTGTTTTGAAACAAGAGTGCTGAGATCATTTCAAGAGAAAACGACCTCAGGCTGTTTTCGTGTGTGTGTGTGTGTGTGTGTGTGTGTGTGTGTGTTGGTCTTTATCCAATGAAGGAATCGGTGATGGCACTCTGGGGTAGTGCAATGGGCAGGGGCTTTGTTTCATCTGTCCTTTGGTTATGAAATTAATCTCGCTTTATTGGGGAATCACTGTGTACGTTTAAAATCAAGTGTGAAGAGACCCGATACCTGCGTTCTTCAAACACGGCAGCTGGGCGTTTCCTTCTGGTTCTTTTGCTTAGCATCTAAGAAGTCCGGTTACAGGAACCTTGAGAGTTTGAGTTTTATGACCTTCATACTCCTCTGATGCTCGGATTTTCAAGATTTCTTTTTTGTTCTGTGTCTGTGGCCCTGCTTGTCAGTGGTGCCCAGAGGCTGCCCCTAGCGTGGTGCGTGTTGGGGTTCTGGCAGTGGGAGGGGGGCTGTGAGCCAGAGCTCAGGTGCACGCCCACCCTTGCGGCTCTCCAGCCCTGCAGGGTCATCCCTTGCTATTAGAGCTTAGTGGCAGTGTTGTTTGGTACGCTGTTGCTTCTCGTTTTTGGGGCACACCCGGCTGTGCTCAGGGGTCACGCCTGGAGGGGCTGGGGGGTCCCTATGGGATGCCAGGACCGAACTAGGGTCAGCCACACGCTCGTCAAATGCCCGCCCCGCTATCCTGTTGTTCCAGCCCATAGCTAACTCTGGGCCATCGACACACATCTTCAGTTACTTCGGAAAGATAAAATTTTGCTGTCCAGACACTCCTGACTGACAGCGTGGCTGCTCTGGTTTCTGTCGCAGGGCTCATGCGTGATGATACCATGTATGAGGACGAGGACGTGAAGGAGGCCATCAGGAGGCTGCCCGAGAACCTGTACAACGACAGGATGTTCCGCATCAAGAGGGCCCTGGACCTGACCGTGAGGGCGCAGATCCTGCCCAAGGAGCAGTGGACAAAATACGAGGAGGTGGGCGGCCTCTGGGACCCGAGGGGGGTTAGGACGGGCCGTTGGTCTGGGCGGCACTCCGGCTTCTACAGGCGTGTCCAGTACACGTCCTCCCGGCTGAGCCTGAAGTCCCGGGCCCCCACCTCCGCCCTGCAGAGAGGGCGCCGCCCTGTGGCAGCCTGGGCTCGCTCACAGGCTCACGCTCTGCCTCTCACCCGGACCAGGATTCCTCTCTGACCCCGCAGCGCAGATATTACGCGTCCTGTGGCTTTTCACGTTTTATAAAAACAGACACTTCTGAGCTCAAGGCTGTACTTGACTAAGAATAAAAATGAATTTGAGGGCCTGGAGAGACAGTAGGGCACTGGTCCCAGGAGTAATCCCTGAAAGTGTGTGTGGGTGGGGGGGGGGGTGGGGGGGTGGAGGAGGGGTGAGAAATTTTTTTTTTTAAGATTTTTTTATTTTAGGTTTAAGATGTCAGTATTTGATGGCGGCATGTACCATTTTTTTCTTTCATTCTTCAGGATAAATTCTACCTTGAGCCATATCTGAAAGAGGTTATTCGGGAAAGAAAAGAGCGAGAGGAATGGGCCAAGAAGTAATCACGTGATCTGCACGCAGCTGTCCTCAAAGATTTTTATGAAGTTGGTTAAAACTGAAACGTACAATCTTGAACTGATCTGAGCTGCAGATGGGTACATGACTTTAAATAAATATCTGTCGTAATTATTGAAGTTTTTGAGTTCTGGGCTTTTATCATAGTAACCGCTAAGATTGCCGGTTGCAATTCTTCCTGGATGTCTAAGAGGCTTTTGAGTCACGGTATGGATGAGCTTAGACGACTCAGTTCGTTTCACTCACTGTTCGGATGGCTTCTGGGAGGGGCGGGGGACCATGGGGATGCTGGGGGTTGAACCTGGGTCCGCCTCGTGCGAGGCCAGCGCCTGCCCACTGTACTCTTGGGCCTTGTGGATCGACTGGTAACCGAGGAATAGAGCATCTTCCAGTGGCTTAGCCCGCGGGGTGCTGCGTTTGTAGATAACAGGACACTGAGAAGCTCTGTGAGGTCCTGACTTGGTGAGTGAGAGGGGAGGACCAAGGCCAGGCCAGTGCCTAGTTTGGCCGGAGGCAAGCGGCTCTCAAACGAGCAGGGAGATGGGAGAAGGTGTGCCCCCAAGCACCCGGCTTAGGGACCACCCTTAGCAATCTCGGCCCTCTGTTGGTGTGTTCCCAGCCTGTCTTTAAAAACGTTTCAGACTCATGCAGCCATCACGGTCCTCCCGTTGTTCATCGATTTGCTCGAGCGGGCCCAGTAACGTCTCCATTGGAGACTTTGTTGTTACTGTGTCTGGCATATCGAATACGTCACGGGGAGCTTGCCAGGCTCTGCTGTGCGGGCAAGATACTCTCGGTAGCTTGCCGGGCTCTCCGAGAGGGGCGGAGGAATCGAACTCGGGTCGACCCTGTTGGCTGCATGCAAGGCAAACGCCCTACCGCTGTGCTATCACTCCAGCCCCATGCAGCCATAACACATAGATGTATGTTCCTGTAAGAATACGCAAATACAGAAAACCAAAAATAGACCCTGGAAACATACCAAGACTCTCCCCATGCCCCGGAGCCTTTTCCGCTCAAGGATGGCAACTGTGGGTAGCCGTGAGAGCCAAATGCTGAATGCTGGCCTTGGTGCCTGTGCGTGTGCGCAGGGCCGGGCCCAGGAACTGACTAGAGTTACCAAGCCACAGACTGAATAAGGGAAATGTTTCACCCCTGAATTCTGCAGTTGTTTGGGGCCTCCAGGATCCTTCCAGCAATCCTCAGCCTGGGGGTGACTGGCACCTTGGACCCTTGGGTGCCAGGAATTACCTGGGCTGCCCTGACAGTGCTTGGAGGCCTCAGGGCTGCACCCTGTGAGGCAGGGAGCAGGCCAGGAGTGCTCCGGGCCCTGCAGTGTTTTCAGCAGGAGGGAAAGCACAGACTCCCACCGCTGGTGCTGAAGCTGTTGGGAGTGTCCGCGGGGGCTTGGAAGAGGAGAAGAGTTCAGAACAAACCCGGATGGCTGGGAGGAGCGTCCACTGTTTGGATATGACTTACGATAGTTCTGTAGACTGGGTCAGACTTTGGCAGCCTGAGCACTGTGAGGCTCTTCAGAGAGCTGAGGGGCCCCGCCCAGGTCACTGGTCCTCGGAGTGTCCGTCTCGGGAGAGTCAGTCTCAGCTTCCTTTGCGCTCAGTGCGGCCTTGGTCCTCATGTCATTAGGGCTGTGGCTGCTGGAGGGGCGGAGCTTTCACCGCAGCCTCTGGAAGCCTGGCTGGACTCAACAGGTGGCCGGGAGGTGGCCAGAGCTGGTGGTGAGTGATGTCCAGTCACATGTCAGCAGTGGTCAGTAAGAACACAGGTGTCCACATGCTTCCCTGCAGGGCCGGGGATAGTCCGGGGGAGGGCACACACCTTGGGCATGGCTGTTCTGGTTCAGTCCCAGACATCACACATGGGCCCCAAGCACAACCAGGACTGATTCCCGAGTACAGATCCAGGACGAAGCCCTGAGCACAGTCTGTGTTCCAGAAACCCAAAAACAAAGAAGATGCTTCTCTGGGGCCAGAGATCGTACAGTGGGGAGGCTGATCCGGGTTTGAGCCCCAGCACTCCGTGGGTCACCCGAGCACTGCAAGGAGTGATCTCTGAATGCAGAGCCAGGAGTAAGCCCTGAGCACAGCCGGGTGTGACTCTAAAAACAACGATCCTTCCATCTCAAACCTAATTACAATAGATTCTCCGTACCACCCTTTTTCTTAAATAATGGCAAGTAATACTGATAATATTCGTGTGTAAATATATACATGGGATACAAAGTATGTATTATAAATATGATCCGCAAATTAATGTTCAGGTTGCTTTCAGCTTGACTCAGAGACTGCAGGAAAGAAAGCAGCCCTGCTTCGTCATAGATTGGATCAATTCCTTAGGGATCGACGCAGGAAATGGCAATACTAGCAGGAAAATACACAAAATGACGGGGCACGAATCATTCAATCGCCCAAGGAATAGTAGCAGTTTACGCAGACAAAGGTTTTGTGTTCTCCTACCAACACTATGTTCTAGAGAAGAATTTAAGCTTTGACTCTCGTTTAGATCCCATGGTAACAGTTGTGTTAACTTGCGTGGTTCTGCCTGAGAGCTCAGACAATGCTGTGTTATGGGAAAGAAACCTGTCACTGCATTATGGGAAAGAAGCCCGTCACTGCATTATGGCAAAGAAGACCATCACTGCATTATGGGAAAGAAGCCCGTCACTGCATTATGGGAAAGAAGCCCGTCACTGCATTATGGCAAAGAAGCCCGTCACTGCATTATGGCAAAGAAGCCCGTCACGGCATTATGGCAAAGAAGCCCGTCACTGCAGCCAGGGCTCGGGACAGTGACACATTGAGATCAAGCTAAAGTTTCAGTCCCAGGACATGGTTGGGTGGAAGAAGCGTATTTGTGAAGAGAGTTTTAAAACTTGCCCTTCTTTTCTTTTCAGTTGAGGGCCACACCCAAATGCTCAGAGATCAGCCTGGTGGGCTTGGGGGCACCATCTGGAGTGCTGGGGGATGGAACCCGGGTGGGCGTTGTCCGAGGCAGACGCCCTCCCCGCCGTACTATCCTTCCGGCCCAAACCTTCGGCTTGGGACATGAACAGAGACTGGGAGAGGCCCAGTGCACTGTCAGACTCACGTTGCCTGCCAGGGCCCAGGTTCCAGTCCCAGCACTGCTTCCCCCACCCCCGAAGATGGGAACTGGGCTTGAGGAAGCTTGGCACTGGGGCAGGGATGGGGTGGGGGGCAGTTGGGAGGGAATACCAGGACAATGGGGCGGGGGGGGGGGGACTGGAGACCATGGTGAAGGCAAGTGGACACCGGTGAAGGCATTGGGGTGGGAACATGCATGCCTGAAACTCAATAAACAACCTTAATGAACTCTGTAATTAAAAAATAAAATAAATAGAAGTAGGTACCCGCCAGTATAGCCGCCTGTAGGACTAAATGCAGCCACGAGGTGGCGACACACCACAACTTTACAACATAACAAATACACCCCCCCAGCCCCACCCCCACCCAGCTGAAGGTAGATCCCTCTACACCAGCACGACCCCCCCCCCCCCCCCCCCGCCCCTTCATTTTTCAGAATGACAACACCTTAGAGGTTTATGGCCATCAGGAGAATTTACTACTAAGCGACATACTGATGTAATGAAATCTAATATATGCTGGGCCATGAATTATGAGATGTTATTTAGTTTCAGGATTTTATTGCTTCAATCGGTTATGACCATATTTCCTTTTATATGACTGCTCGCCTTTAAACGTACCAGATGACTGTATAAGGAACACCTAATAAAGTCTATGAATGTTAAAAGTACAAATAATTTATGTCTCATAATTTGTTTAAATTATGCTTAGACCGGTATTCCTATTAAAAGTTAAAATATCAGAGACTCTGAGCTCTTAGATCAGATGGTGCCTCTGAGCTACATTTCGCTAAGAAATTTCATTGTGTGTGTTAGCAATTGAGCAGGAAAGCAGCACGGGGTCATTACAAAGCAGTTAATATTTAGCACGGATTCCAGAAAGCCTACTCACATTTAAGGGGTTTATATATTATGACAAACTATTGAAATTTTCATTCTGGACTGTGGCTCTCTCTCTCACGGTAGGAAGAATGGATTATTTGTTTAACTTTGTATTTTAATACATCTGCCTGCTTTTGCATACATGCCAAAAATGTCATTTCAAAATAAACCCCTGTGAAGCTTCTGGTAACAGTATTCGACTGGATCATTGTTCTGTTAGTATCCCTTCTATTTTCAAGACAACTATATACATATGTGCGAAGATTGAATTTATATGACAAGCCCCCCCGCCAAAAATAATTTTTTTAAAGGTATTTATTTTACAACAGGATCCGCTTACAGTTCCTTTCTTACGTCTGTACTTAAAATGTGGTTTCCTCCGTGCGGGCAGCTTGTTAACCTTTATAGAGTTGGGGTTTCTCGGCTATACAGCGAGGGGATCTAGCTCAGATCTCGAAGGCTCAGGATAGCGCACAAAGTTCTGGTTCTGCGATTTCATTTCTGTAGGCTCCAGTGAGGATGGGCGGCGGGGAAGGGGGCGAATCCTGCCAGGCGTGGCTCTGCTGCTCCCCGTGGTCTTCCCCTGCATCTTCAAGTTTCCATCTGTAACACTGTGTCTGAAGAAGCCAGAGAAGGGAGGCTGGGTGTCCAGGCTCGTTTCATCCTCATTCTCTTTTTTTTTTCTTTTTGGTTTTTGGGTCACACCTGGCGATGCTCAGGGGTTACTCCTGGCTCTGCACTCAGGAACTACCCCTGGCGGTGCTCAGAGGACCCTATGGGATGCTGGGAATCGAACCCGGGTCGGCCGCGTGCAAGGCAAACGCCCTACCCGCTGTGCTATCGCTCCAGCCCCCTCATTCTCTTTACAGGGTTGTGTTTTTTTTTTTGTTTTGTTTTGTTGTTTTGCTTTGTTTTGTGTGTGTTTGAGTATATGCTTTGTGTGTGTGTGTGTGTGTGTGTGTGTGTGTGTGTGTCTGATGCTTGTGCTTTTTTTCTATTCCAGGCTCAGTGGAAGCCCCAGGCAGGGTTTCTGCCCTGCACCGCGCACTTGGGGACCGTCTGTGCTTTGTAGGGCCCTGAGGGGCATCGTTCCACTTCATCACAACAACCAAAAGTGTT